TGACCACATGGGCGCATCACCCCTGCCCCGAGGGGGCTGACTACTCATGCGATTGCCTAGTGACACATGTGTGCCTGGGGACACTGCGGTCTCAGTGCCTTGGTCGCTGTGTCAGTTCTTACTGGCCCACAGGTGGGAGCCCTGCCTCGAGATACCGGACGTGAGCCACTCTGGTCCTCGGTATTCAAACTGGTAAAATCAGGGGCGGCACTAACCAGCCCACGAGCGGATTCCCTGAGAGAATCTGCGGTGTGCCTTAGCCCACAGGGTCCGGAAGAGCGGGGCTTGAGCAGGAACCATGGTGATAACACATAATGAAGAAGGTGATCTTGACTCACCCTGGGACCAACAATCTTGGGGCGCAGGGACCCTCCCCCTCGGCACTGCTGACACAGGGCCTGGACACTCTCTGTGGGGCGTCCTGGGTTCTGGGGGTTGTGGACCAGACTCCCTGGCCCCACCCACTCAAAGTCCCAGTCATGATGACCACAGGTGTCCCCAGATGTCACCCAGGGTCCCCTGGGGCAGGGTCACCATGGTGAGACCCTGCTGCGTGGGGTCAGGCTCGTGTCCTGGGAAGCACCCCGTGGGCTGCTCTGCACAAGGGGAGCCTCTGGCTGCAGGGAGAGGGTTCTGGGCTTGCGGGCTGCAGCGGCTCCCCCCCGCGGCCGGGTTCAGCTGGGCACCCCGTAATTACGTAGGTACTGTGTACGTTTTCTGTTGGGAGGGTGGCGGCAGCAGCCGTGACCTTCTGGGAGCAGGCAGTTTTAAGGTTCTGACCGCCTGTCTTGGCAGGTCTCTCGGGAGAACAGCTTGTCCGCGGAGAGGACCGATAACAGCGCGCATTCAACACGCCTGCCCAGGACAGAGCCGGGCAGGGACCGACGGATGGGGACGGGGCGGGGCGGGGAGAAACATGCTCAGACTCGCACCCTGGGGTTGGAGTTTGCTGCCCCACAAGGGCCGCTCTCTCAAGATAAAAGTCCCGGGAGTGCTTTTGGCAGAACTGTTCACAAACTCCCGGGAGAACGAGGGTTATCAGAAAAACACTCTGCACTTGGAGGGCATGAAGTTCTGTTCGTTCCCGTGCAGGGAGCAGGAAGGCTGGAGGCAGGCTTGAGAAACCCTTTGCCACCTAGAAGCACTGATTCACCCCAGTACATCCCCGGTGTGCTCGTCTCCCGGCTGCCCGCCCTCCCATGCCTGTGGGCCTGGGGCTTGTGGCTTCCACACTAGAGGGCCGGGCTCCAGACCCGGGGTTCACCTCAAAGGATAATGGCACCTTCTGGAGGGAGGCCAGCCCCCAACCCCGGGATGTCTGAGAGCCACTCCACGAGGCAGGAGTCAACTGGCTGTGGTCCCGGCCCCTCGGAGCTTCAAAGCCAGTAAGAAGCGCCACCCGGGGTGCGGGGACCTAACCCATCTAAAGACAGGACATGGGAGGCGCCAGGAGGGCAGGGTTTCAGCGGGGGGACCCTGCCCCCACGGGACACCGGGTGGTGCCTGGGGGACATCTGTGGCTGCCGCGACTGGGGGCCCCCGGCCTCGAGTTGGGGGAGGGGGCAGGGAAGCTGCTCCATACCCCCCAGAGCCCAGGATGGCCCCCAACAGAGGACGACCTGGACCTGGGTCAGCCGTGCCCGGGGGCACAGACCCTGGATGGTTCCCGATTCTCGCCGGAACGTCAGCCCTGTGAGAGCCGGTATTCCACCCACCCTGTGCCCTGTTGTCCCCCAGGGCCTGGCCCAGCCAGACGCTCTGGAGTCCTGGCTGAGGGAACGAAGGAGTCTTCGGGAGGGCCCCCAAGGCCTGGCCAGTCCAGGCAGGAACTATCCCTGTGCTGCACTGGAAGGCGACAGAAGCAAGACCCAGTCCTCTGGCAGCAGAGCAGCAGCTAGGCCGCCCACCCTCATCCTGTGGCCTTTGCTCCCGGGTCCAGGCTCTGCTTCAGCCCCTGGGGTGCACCCGGGCCGGGGTGGATCTGTGGGTGCAGGTGCGCAGGGCCTCCAAGGTCACAGAGCTGTGTTCTCTGCCTCCCTCTTACACCCAACGGACCCACAGAAGCTCTGGGTCTGTGAGGTAAGGGCCCCCAGAACAGGGTGACCGTGGATCTCTGGGTGCTGGACCAGAATGTCCCAGAGAACGTGAACAGGAAGTCACAGGACTCTGAGAGGGGCGAGGGGTTGACTGAAGACACCTGGATGCCCAGTGGCACCCCCATGTACCAACCTGCACCTCCATCCCCGCCTGGCTCAAAACCCAGCCCCGCCAGAGACAGCAAGGACTTCTCCGCCCCCTAGTGGCCACCAGCAGGAACCGCAGCACTCTTGGGACCGTCCCCGGCCCGAAACCCCAGGCAGGAGCAAAGGCCCCAAACTCCGGGTCCTCATTGAGCCCTGGTGTCTGCGGAAATTCAGTGCAGCTGGACCCAGGGGTGCTGGGGCCAGGATGGGCGGTGGTGGCCTTTGCTCGGTGACATCCTGGCTCCCCTGGAGGGGTAGCCACCCTGCAATGGGAGATCCAGGCTGCCCGGCCCTGCCCGGGTGCTGGGGAACCGGCCATGAGGGCGCCTGCGGACATCCAGCACTGCGCCTGGCAAACAGGACAGGCTGAAGAGTGACTATGAAACTAAAAAGGTCTCAGGGAAAGTCCAGACTCCCCGCTTCGAGGAGTGCGTCAAGGGGAACAGAGGACCCCCGCAAGGCTGGCCGTGGGCACTAGCTCAGCAGAAAATTCTGTCTCCTTCCAACACACCTGTCCACTGGGCACTGCTGACATCGGGGCCGCTCGTCCTCTGTGCGGGGGTCCTCAGCGCTGCGGGGTCTGCAGCAGCAACCCTGGCCCCACCCTCTCAATGCCAGGAGCCACCCCGCCAAGTTGTGACAACCACAGATGTCCCCAGACGTGTCCCAGTGGCTCCTGGGACCCCAGATGAGACCTACGAGCACAGCTGAATTCCAAAGGGCGCGAGGATTTAAGTTGAAAACATGCGATCCAAACAAAACTTTGAAACCCCGACATTCGGAAGCTGGCCTCGCAGAGCAGAGCGAGCACGGCCGTGCGCGGAGTGCTGCAGGTCCCCCGCAGCGACCCCGCGGGAGCCGAGGGCAACGACCACCGGGAGAAGCGTCCGCAGCGAAGGCGGCGGACAGCAGGCGGCGTCCGGAGACGCCGGGAGCGGTCAGACAAGTCACCCAGAGAGACACTCCAACAGAAAGGTCAGGACGCGGCCGGGCCCTTGGCGGAAGCAAAGCCTGAGAGGAAGGGACCAGGGAGACGCGGACAGGGCAGTGACTTCACACTGGGCTTGGGGGGGCCGGGGGGCAGGCCCCGGGGTGGGCGACATTGCCTTTCTGGAGGTCTTTGCGGCTGAAGGTCAGAACGTAAGTGAGATGGCCCAGGCCTGAATTCTCAGCCCAGGGAAGCCTACTTATGGGAATTTATCCCCAACGAGGACCAGCCCAGGACATACAGAGTCCCCACAAGGACATTCATCCCAGAGAGCCACCAAATTTAAAAAGAGAGCAAGAGACAAAGAAAAGAAAAGAAAAAACAGAAAAAAAGCGAACACCCCCCCAAAAAGCCCACCAACAGACCACCTAAGTCAATTATAAAATTATTTTAAAACAAATAAATTATAATCCGCCCATAACTCAGAGTGCTAAGCCAGTGCTAAGTGCGTGCTGTGAATCTGTTTCAGACCCTGGGGGAGCACAAACAGGCCAGCTGGAGGCCAGGGCACTGAGCATGGGCCCTGCGCACAGCACCATGCGCCCAAGCCCCTGTCCTCTCCAGCCCGACCCCGTAGCAAGAGCATGAGACAACCCTTTAAACCATTGTACAGTTAGGCAGTTGCAGACACCCCTGCAAATGTCAGAGGGTCCTGCTCGGTTACGCGACCCCCCCCCACAGTTCTAGACTCTTCCCTTCTCCCCGTAAGACACCTGGTCTCGCAGCACAGCGCGTCTTAATTCCCACCCCAGTCCCTGGCAGCCCGGCGGCCTTTCTGTGCCTACAGACTTGCTTCTCCTGGACATTTCATCTAAGTGGAATCATACGAAGTGTCGTCCCGGGGCTCTTCACTCTTGTCTAACAATTTTCCTTTACACACACAGCACACACACCGGGTGAGAATGCACCTTATAAAGACATCAGGTCTCCCTCAAGTTTGTTGATACACTGAACACAGCCCGAATCAAAGATCCATCCAAATTGTTATTAGAAACTGCACGTTTACTCTCAAGACCCCGTGAAAGAGGAGACTCCCGGGGAGCAGCAGAGACATTTGTGACAAAACAGAGGCGCACGGGAGGCACGGGCCCAGGGCCGTGGGCAGCCTCGATTTTTCCCATTTCCTCTTCATACATCACAAAAGCCACCTCGAGCCCTCTGAGGAATAGGACCCAAGACAGACAGGTAGGAGTGAGAGACCAGGACCTGAGCTTCAGTTTTCCTCAAATGTAATCCTCCTGAGGCCTCGCAATGGTGCCAACCTGCCATCGCGCCAGGGTGGGCAACAAGGTCCAGGTATTTGTCACGCACGGGGACCCACTCTGCTCTGGATGACAGCCATTGACAGTTGTCATCTCCATGCAGATGACAGCTGGGGTGAATCACCAGAGCACCCCATCAAGCCCCTCGAGGAGGAGGCTGAGAGTGGGAAGCAGGTGGCACCATCAGGCTCGCCACCCCGCACCCGTCCTGGGGGCTCAGGACCAGCCCCCCAGCCCCACGCCCCCCTGCTTCACGGCGATCAACCAGTCAGGAGCTGAGGGCACAAGGTGCTCCCTGTGGCTCCCGTGCGCCTTTGGTGGATAAGGCCAAGCCTCAGAAACAAGCGAGCAAGGCCGGGAGTGGGGGACACAGGCGTGCACGGCAAGGATACCCGCCTGGGCGGCAAGCCAACCTCTTCATTCTCATCTTGGCTCCCAACAGCCAACCAAACACCCGCGTGAACTCCAAATCGAATATGGAAAAAAGAAAAAGCCCAGGACACTGACCTGTGCTCGAGGCCTGCTGTCCGCAGCGCTGCCGTCCAGGAACCCAACGTCCACTCCCTGGAAGAAACACGCATCATGTTAGTTGAGCACGATTTGGCCTGAAAATGCCAGTGGGTGTTCAGTGGTGTCAGCACAGAAGAGGTGGGGGCTCACAATTAGATGTAAAAACTCTGGGAGTCCTGCCTTTGGGTTTCTCTGCCCCACTGTGGGGACAGCACAGATAGGATGCTTTGAGATGCAGGGGAGTCAGACTGATCCCGGCAGTTTGCCAGAAAGCCTTCTCAGCACGCTGTTACCCCCGGGGAGTTTTCCACGTGTTCCAACACTACGGTGGAGAAAAGGATGCCATGTTCACATGACCTCTTTCTTTCTTTCTTTTCTTCCTTCCTCCCTCCCTCCTTCTCTCTCTCTCTTTCTTTCTTTCAACTGGAGGGACTGGGGAATGAACCCAGGACCTCATGCATGCTAAGCATGTGCTCTACCACAGAGCTACACCTCCCCTGCCTCACGTGAACTTTTATAGTTTATGCAAGACATTCACCAGCATCATTTGAACCTCACAGTTTCCTGGAAGGAAGAGGAGGGGGCTGAGTCAACCCCTTGTACTGTGAGCCCCAGGGTGCCCAGCCCACCCGGGTTTGCCTAAGGCATGCGGCCGACTAAACACAGGTGGGATTTTGGATGGGATCCTGGGGCAGAAAAGGACACTAGGGAAAACTAGCAAAATCTGAATAAAGAGGGGACTGAGGTCACAGACCTGCACCCACGTCCACCTCTCGGTTGTCATAAATGCACTGTGCGTACGAGAGACAAGACCATTGGGAGAAATTGGGGGATGGGTAGGCAGAGATGGGAACTCTCTTCGAAATGCTTCTAAACATCTAAAATCATTCCAAAATTAAACATTTACTTTAAAAAATAACTCAGTTAAATTTGTTAAATGCTGGTTCCCTTTCTCTGGGAAAACTAGTTCAGGCTAATGATGGAGAACTGACATCCCCACAATCACCTGCAGGTGGCGCTGCTGCCCCAGGAACACCCTCTGAGCTCCGGGAGCTGCTAGACTCCGACCCACCGGTCTCTGTAAGCCCGCGGGCCACCTAGGATTGGAGCTGCTCAAGCCGCTGAGGCTAGAGGGGCGCCCTGGACGGTGCGGGGAGCCAGACAGCAGTGGACAAGCAGGGAAGAGAGACGAAAGGGCCGGAGCAACGTGCCCACAGACCTGGAGGCCAAGACTTGCCTCAGTCTTGCAAGGACCATCTACACGTACAGTCCTTCAGCTGTTTATTTTTGAAGAAGTTGCAAAACTAGTGCCGAGGGGTCCAGGCACCCTTCACCTGGTTCCCCAATGGCAGCTCCTTACACGACTGGGGGACATTATCAAAACTTGGAAATGGTGACCGATAATCTAAACATAAAATTTTCAGACAGTATTACTGAGACATAATTCTCATGCCACACAATTAGCCTATTCGAAGTGCACAGTTCAGTGGAGTTTTTTGTGCGTGCTTTCCCAAAGTTGTGTGACCATCACCACAAGCAATTTTTGAATATTTCATCACTGCAAATATTTCATCCCCAGCAGCAGCGCCCCCCACCCTGGCCCCTGACAACCCTCTCCCTGGGTCTGCGGACTGGCCTGTTCTGGATATTTCACGTCCATGGACTCACACACTGTGTGTCCTTCTGTGTCTGCTTCTCTGAGTATCGTGCTCTCAGGGTCCAGCCCCGTGGGGACGGGTGTCAGGGCTGCTCTCCTGGTCACGGCTGAGTGGTGTTCCCTTGTGTGGAGGGACACATGCGTTTCTCTGTTTATTACTGATGGGCATTTGGGCTGTTCCCATTTCTGGCTACTGTGAATCATGCTGCTGTGAACGTGGGTAGCTCAGGAATCACTTTCAAGATGTTTCTCTCTTTCTGTCCTCACATCTACCATCCGTACATCTCCTGGTTCTTGGCCCTTTAACATCAGCTGCTAGCTGTCCTCTAGTCCTTGGAGTTGGATTTGGACCATGAGGTGACCACCACAGAGCCCCCACCGGGCTGTGCTCGGCCCAGACCGGCTTGGGCCGGAGCAGACAGGAGTGAAGACAAAAATCGTTCCTGCAGCCCCGTCCCCGGGGCTCACAAGACAGCAGGCTGCCAGGTGCACCAGCTGGCGCCAGGCTGTCCCCGGGACCTTCACCCAACAAAGATGCTGGGCTTCCACTTCCCCATCAGGGCGCTCCCCAGGCCCTCAAGAAGGGCCCGCAGGGGACAAGCCGCAGGGGACAAGGAGACGGGACGCAGCAGTGGGACCTGCTGCAGAATTTGCAGAGCTTGAAGCAAAATGAAACTGTGGGACCCCTTGTTCAAAAATTATTACAGATTTTAAAATAGTGACAACAGAGCCGTGGTAGGCAGGGGTCTGCAGACCCCACACACACCCTGACTTTATGAACTGCCCACGAGGCAGGGTCAGTAAATGTCAGACACAGACAATGAAAACTCCAGGCACAAAGTGCCCAGTGCTGTGAGGGAGGAAAAATCATGGGGTTGGAGTGGGGGAACAGGCAGAACGCACAACGGTGGCTACTAGGGACCCGCGTGGACAGGACGATCACCTGTTCCTGTCACGGGCAGCACATTCTTACAACCTGTGAGCCCCACCTGGTCCCTAGGCTTTCCTTTTCATGTTTTAAAAATTAAGGTGGAATTCACATACTATAGAATTCACCCTCTAAAATGTCCAGTTCAATGGCTTTTAGGATGTTCACAAGACTGTGCGACCATCGCTCTAATCCTAGGACACGGCCATCTCCCTGAAGAGACCCCATAGCCATCAGCATGCTATGGTTCAAAGTCCAGTCTCCCCCCGGAGAGGTAAGACCCCAATTCAGGAACCACGGGCGCTTTGCTCATCACAGTGGTTCAAACTGGTTTCACCGCCAGCCCACAGGGGGCGCTCACCAGGGCGCACTAGTTCTGGGGATTTTGCACAGACCGGTCAGTGCCAAGAGCACAGCCTGCGGAAGTGGGTGGATCTGGGGGTGAGGGGTGGTGGGCGAGTCCCGCTTCTGCCACCATGTTATGTAAGACTGTGCCCTCCGTGTTGCTGCAGACGGTGGCCTCAGCTTGCACACATCGATGACGCGATCAGCATGTTGGAGAGGTCCACGTGGCAGGGGACTGAGGGTGGCCTCCGGTCAACAGCCAGAGAAGAACCAGGGCCCCACAGGAGCTGAATCCTGCTGAGGACCATGTGAACTTGGCAGCAGCAACTTCCCCAGTCAGGCCTCCCGAGGAGACTCCAGCCCCAGCTGACACCTTGATGGCAACCAGTAAGAGGCCCTGAGCAGAGGACCCGGCTAACCTACACCCAAACTTCCAACCCACAGAAACCATGAGATAATAAATGTGTGGGTTTTTTTAAGCCACTAAGTTCATGGCGACTTGTTACATGGCGTTAGCTAACTAATATGATAGGAGACTATTTAAATAAATCATACAGTAGAACAAAAATATCTAATGGCTCCTGAATGCATATACGCCAGTCTCTGTGCTGAGTTTTATTTTGTATGTGTGTATATGTATCCCCTTACTTAATTATCCTAACAAAAACT